GCGAAAATTCATGCACATGTTAATTATAATTAAAACGTCGCCTTTCACACACGAAAAATTCGATATTATAACAACGAGCGTCCTATATAACAAGCGTCATCATTTAAAAACAGATATATATATATTTACGATAGTTATACAAAATTAATTATTTTCAATCCTGCGGTTTATACACATTATGGTTACTATAACTATGTTATCGCGCGCTATATATAATTACGATAATTAAATGATAATTATTATTATTATACGTATGTAACATATGAAAGATATATACTGTTTCAACCAGTTTTTTTAAACTTACCGGTTCTTTCCAATCGTAGTGTCTCATCGTTTTCGCGAGTTCGTCGCTAACCGGAAGAAGAGGCGCATTAATGGCCGCATGTGTACGTATAGGAATGAACGACTCTTAAGTATCGCGAGTGTGAGCGGGCCCCATACGAGAGTCGTGGATGGGCGGGCGCCTCGGCGCGGAAGAAGGGAACCGACGTGTGGGGTGGATCGGGGAAGGAGGAGGAGAAAGGCCTTCAAGTTGAATAATTCAAGCTCTCATTAGGGCGACAAAAGCACCCTGATGGATAGCTGCTCGACTCCGCTGGCTGTCGTGAGTCCTCGCGCTCCTATCCGCTTCGCAAGTGCGCGAACCCGCCGAAACGCGTACACAGAAGGGTGTCCCAGAATTGTGCTTCGTCCGTTCAATCGCAGATACTGCAGCTTAAGAACATCTGAATTATTTTTTCAAACGTCCACAATGAAATGAATAGTTATTTAATATAGAAAGTTAATTATATAAAAAAAGAATTGTACATTGATTCCATTTTTTACGTGAGAAATTTTTCTTGCCTTCTTTGTAATTGTTGATAATAAATGGTTTAGATTTACGTCATAATAGCAAATTTCATAACAATTATTACAATTAAAAGTACGAATCAAAACTTTTGCAGATTTTCAGATGCACTGTAAATATAATAGTCACATATTGTATAGTATTTGTTTCAATTAGAGAATATCGTGGAAAATTATTTTATAGCTTATAAAGAAAAATATAAAAATAAAAATTTACATATACATATATCTTTAAATTAATTTTAAGCAGAATATTTATATCAGCAAATATTTCTATAAAAACTTGAGATGTTGAATAACGAATCTTTCAAACATATGTGACGAATAATCTTCCAATTCTATTTCGGATTCTTAATAGACGTCACGATTAAAACGACATGCAGTGGTACGGGTTATACCCTGTAGAAATGCGGGCAGAGGTTTCGCGAAAACCTCCCTCCTTCTCGTTTCTCCTCCTTTCTTTCCAATTCGTTTTCTTCCACCATCTCTTGGTCTTCTTCGCCGGTACCGACGTGTTCACCCTCCCACCTTTCCTCCGCCGTCCACCCTGTTTTATTTCGAATGTTCTTTCATTTCTTAAAAGGTTCTCTCGCTGATAATTAGCACAATGCGCGGCCGCATTAATTATTACCCCTGCTAATTACCCGAGGATAAATCGCTCGGCAAGGGGTGGCCGGCGAGGCAAGAGAGAGAGAGAGAGAGAGGACGGGTCGGGGCAGTGGTGGAGATGCGGGAAGGGTGCACGAGAGACTGGAGGCGGGGGAGGCCCATTACCGTTATTGCTGCAACAAACCGTCCAACAACAGCGATAAATACGAGCGAGAGGCTGGCGTTACAAATGTCTCTCTGAGTTATGATTATTTAGCGCGCTCGCGCGCTCTCGCTCATTCGCCCGTTCGTTGGTTCGTTCGTTCGTTTCCGCAACGGTTACTTCCGCAGGTTTGTACAGGACGTTTCAGAAGGGGAGAATTCGATATTTATTCGCGAGAAATGATGGTATCGTTAATATTGTAATTTAAATCGAACAATTCTCGTTTTTCGTAGCCATTGCACATATTAGTTTTGGCGTCAGAATAAAATCACGAGAACAATCTTCTTTCCAATAGAGAAGAACTTTTTTGCATTCTTCGAATATAAAATTAGTGTATTTCGGATAATGTTATAATATTTTTTTAACCAATACGTATACAATAAAAATTTTGGAGAATTTTATCTTCACTTTTAACACGATTCGCAGAATATAAAAAAAAATTTGTGAGGCACAATGAGTGGCATTACGCTACACAATATTTATGCTAAAAAGAAACAATTCTGTATTTGATTAAATTAAATTATATGTTTTGCATTTGTCATGAATTATTATGCATACAATCAATAATTAATAATGTTGTAAATAACTTTTAAAAAGCTTTTCCTCGTACTTGTCGCACAAAAATTAGAAACTGTTCTTGCACTGATACTGTCGCAATATTATTATAATGACAAAATAATGACTGTTTCTTTTGAAATACCTTTTATAAATACGCAAACATTGAACGAGATTTCGTCCCAGCATTCTTTTTTTTTTCTTTTTCGTCGTTTTTTGAAATTTTTGCAAAGACTTTGCTTGATGTAGGAAATGAAAAGCGCCGATTATCCGGTGTTATCGATATTGGCTCGTTTATGTATATTTGAATAGCTAATTAATTTGACTAACTTGTTTATTTATATATGTATTATAATATAACATGTAATGATAAATGGAATAATGCCATATATATAGAATTCGGAAAATTGTTTATGAAATTGCAATGAATAACTGAAATAAATTTCCGATAATATCATCAACTTGTGAAACGATTATTAAACACAAATCGCTTGCGAAGCAATTCAAAAGGTATCATTTTACGCCACCATGGATTTTAAATAATAAAATTTACATATAGTGATACTTTTACAAATTATTAACATGCTCTCTTTATCAGATATTTCAACAACAGTTTCTATTTCAAGTTCTTATTCCAATCGAAAATTATCAAAAGTAGATTTGCGAGTTTTATACGATATTTTATGGTGTTAATAAAGTTTATGTAAATTTGAAATAACGAACAGGCTTCTTTTATATGCAATATGATTAATAAAAACATTTAGTTATTATAAATATAGTGAATTCTGGAAGAGAAATTAATTATTAGCAAATCAGTTATTAGTAAAAGAGTTATAATAATAACTACACTTTATTTTTAAATTTTAATTAATATTAATATAAAATATGATAATATTCTGTTGATTGAAAACTGTTGATATTTTAAAATTTTTTATAAAATGATTAATTCGAAAGTATATGATTGTCATATGAGTAGTTCTCGTTGCCGACAAATATTATTTTATCGATCTGATGGTGTAACTCGCAATTCTAACAATAGTTAGCGTTATTTTCTGTGTCCGCATCTATTTCAATTCAATTTTTTATTTTGAAACAGAGTTTCATTTTTTACAAAATTTTGTAAATTTAAATTGATTAGTAGGGTAAAAATTATATGAAAAATATTTAAAAAACGCTTTGTTATCAAAATAAGATATTGTGTTTCTTTAGGAAATACATTGCTGTGCCATCTCAAGGAATATTTTCTAAACTGGACACTCTATATATCGACGCAAACATTAAGTGCTTATAAAGCTTCAAATATACAAGTCGAAGATTCGTAAAAAATCTGATGCATGTATGGAACGTAAATAATTATTGATATCCAATTATTAAAAAAAAATATGATCAAAATATCTATATTAATTAAATTAATTTAATTATTAAATATGTTAAATATAATAAAAAGAAGTAATTAATAAATCATTGTCACATAATCTTTTTTTATATTAATTTTTATACTATATTCATATTATTATTATACGAAAAATTGATAAAAAGTTTATTAACATAAATTTAAAATTAAACAGTTGAATTTCATATATATATAATGTGCGCTTATCCGTATAACTTATCATGCTTTGCCTTCAAAGGTCATTTTGCATAATCACAAGTTAATCAACAATATTTAAACTGATATCTCATTGATATTTTGTCGGCTTCATCGCAAGGTAAGCAAATCAACGAAAGAACGGGTATCGAAATTGGCAGATCGACTGAATGATGATGTCGACGGGGTCATCCGAGATTCAGAGGCCACTGCTGATTGATAAGAACCGCTTCCAGGGACGTCATCGTTCGCTCCGAACGGACACGAGACAACCCGGATTCCGTTCTGTCATTGTAGTCGCTTTCGGTCTCACGACAGTTCGTTTCGTAAATTCATGACGTGCATTATGTTATATCTCGTTCTTGTGCGTGTCATTTCGTCCAACGGTATCGTGCTCACGAGCCACGAATTTGCTCGAATTACTCGTCAATTTCTAACTTGCCTGAAAGCTATACTTTAACAAAATATTATTTTAAGGTTGCAAAAGCCAGTTATACATCAACGTGCTTAACAATTTGAAAATTTAGTTTTCAAATACCAATTGTTTGAATTCCGTCGTGTTGACATCAGCTAATTTTATTAACAATTAATTTGTTTCGCGACTTTGATTACGCCCTTTACGTTCGTTGACAAACAAATAAACTTTTTCACCAAACAGTGATCAAGGATATTTTGAAGACAGGACATATATCCAGGACATATATATTAAACTTGTACTAAAATCCACCCTTGTGTACTTAAAAGTAAGTGAATTTTCTTTCTTCTGTCGATATTATATATTAAATAATTTAAAAAAGACAGTAAAGACAGTGAAATCTTTCTCCTCAAAAAACAACTTTGATGCACAACCGGCTTGTAATTACATAGACAGATCTAGGAAAATAACTGGAAAATAAATTTGAGGATTTTTCCTCGCACCTGAAGAAAGATCGATTTTAAATAAACCAAAGAAAATGCCAAGAACTTGGCGCACACTCGGTATAGCATTCATCAGTCCGGATCGGACAAATTGGCCGGCTTCCGCAGTGACTCTTTTTTCAGTGTCTCTCTGCGCATTTCGCTCTTTACATGATGATCGCCACTGCGTGTTATTATCAAGCTATCGCGACGGATATATTACACATGCTGCGCACACGCGCGCCTGTTATGATTTATATTTCATAGCAGAGTCCAAGTTTGCGGTATCGGAAAGTACTCGTTTCTTCTTGTGTATCGACGTTGCCTGAGTAGGGGGAACGACGAGCAAGGGATCTTGCTAGTCCCCGATGGTAGAGGAATGGGCGGTGGTAGGGAGCTAGGGGACGAGAGGGGAAGAGAGTTCCTGAGTCTCGCGATAACGCAGGCCTATGCCGTCTAATTATTCGTATTTATCCGCAGAGGGACGAGAGAAGGAGAGCGGACGTGGAACGGGACGGCACGACCGACGTTCGCGATACGACGACGGCGCAGTGCAGGACGACAGTAGGAGCGAGGAAAGAATGGCCGGTCGTCTTCTTCGGGGCACGCCAGTCAGGATGCTCGCCGTCTGCCTGGTCTATCTTTTCACGCTCCTCGGTGAGTTATCCGCCAGTTGTTATGACCCCCCTGTTTTTTTTCCTTTGCCCCGTCCGCTCCCCCTCTTTCCTGTATGAGATTCTCCCCCCCCCCCAGTCCCTTGACATTGCATTCGGGCTTCACCGTTCCCCTTGTAGCGCCCCGGTTCCCCTCTCACGTTATCCCAGACCGAAAGTCATTCATTGAAAAATACATCGTACGAGCCGGCCGGAACATGACGACTCATTGAATACGCGAAAAAGCGCTACTCTTGCCAGTAAATTGCAGTACAATTATAGACATTTTTCTCTCTTTGTAAAAGTATAAAATAAATGACATATAAAACGATTTTTTTCGATTATAATGTGTGTGCCACGTGCGTATAATTATCTATATATACATGTATATCGAGCCTGTTTTTTCTGTCAGTATATCAGTGCATATTAGCGATGACCTCTTTTCATCGTATTAAGAAAACAGTGAAAATTAACCGCGACATTAAATATTATATTAATCATAGCAATAATCTTATATGAAAAAATTTTAAGATCGTGCATGATACATAGTAAATTATTTGAATACTTGATAGTGAAATAATTCTCTTTACTGAACAATTACTCTAATGTACAAAATTATTTTTCTCGAAAACTATATGTAAAATCGAAATATGTTTGATAAAAAGACTTATTTTATATTTTCTATTTGTTCTTCTTTCTCACGGAAAGTTATTTTGTACATCAATCCATTTTTCACCGATAGATACATTTATAAAACAGAACAATCTTTTTTACAGGTTCGTACTGTCAGATGGCACCAGGTAATTATTTCTTGAAGATTCATAATTTAAAAAAAACAAAAAACGAAAAAAGAAAAAAAAACATCCAAAGCAATATTATAAAAATTCATTAAATTATTTGAAATATTTGAATTATAATTATTTGAAATTTAACCGGTCGATTTTATCGAGACGTTAAAAAAGAATCACACGCAACGCCCATTCTTGCCCATCGTGTAACATGGACTCCTCGTGAATTAACGGTATTCGGTACGACGCGCACACACGCAGGCACACTACTGCGTGCGTGCGCGTCCGTACGAACACACGCCCAAGCGTATCCGGCATGGCGTGCGTTCTCTGCTGAATCTGTTCGGTAGGAGCGCCGATTCTCGTCGTCTAGTGCGCTTGTCGGCCTGTCAGTCGTGGTCAGTCGACGCGCGACGTTACTCGCGATCGGTCACGTTGTCGAGCGTTCGACTCGCAAATACACAGACTACAACTACCTCACTACTATTAGCTACAGCGTGAATCACGCAATCTGCGCGATGACGAGTACCTGCTGGAAATTGTGCGTGATGCTTGCAGCCGTAGCCGGTGCCACCAGAGGCTGGGAAACGGGAAGAGGTCACAAGTATAGATTAACGAATACTCTGATCTTCAGAGAGGCCGGATCACCGAAATCCGGAGGTGACGTCGGCTTTCGGCTGACCGGCGAGCTGGACATCACCGTTGTATGGCAAGATTCCAGTGATCCCAATAGCTTTCTACTTAAATTCAAGGTATGACATTTTCTATTTTTTATTATTTATTTTATAATCTTTAAAAATTCTTTGAATATTTTCAATCTCGATGGAAGATTTATATCGCTGGCATTATCGTATATCTGTATATTTCTCATTAAAATTTTATGATCGCGTGCAAATTCGTGTTCTTGGAATTTTTTATGGATCGTAATCCTCTAATCTTTGCCAAACAATCGACATTTTTTTTTTATATCAAGTTTACTTTATTGTACAGTTTAACGTGTTAATAAATAAAATGTTTTCGTGATTTAATAAATTTTTATTTCTTTTAGGAAATTATTTTAGTACAGATAAAGAGTTATCTACAAATGATTATATTATAGTCATCGTACATATTACGTTTCAGATATGAATACACTGTCTCATGTTATCGCGTTGTAATCATGTAATTCCATACGCCGTAAGCAATTTGTTTAATGTTTCAATATACATAACACACATTCACTTTTGTCATTTCTAAACTTAGTTAACTCAGATAATTGAGATATTTCATATATGTATATGGATTATCTAAATATATTTAATAAAATATTTAATAAAAATATTTATTCATGAATTCTTATAAACATCAATACGCTAATACGCATTAGATTTGCGCCACGTGTAGATTTCTAAATTTTATATAAGTTACGAAGCTTTGTCTCAAGTTGTACATTTGCTTCACACATGTCCTATATCTTTTGTCTTTCTCATTGTTCCTCAGAATGAACAGATTGTAAGAGACTGCAGTGTATAACGAAAAAGGAATTTTCAAAAGCTTTTATACCAAGGATAGAATATCTACTTTCAACTGAGAAGATTACAGTGCTGTGAAAAGCATATTGAGTTTTTTGATAGTCGAAAAAATTATGTCGAGATTGTAAAGAGACTTACTGGATACTGATAACCCCCGTCTGAGAGTGATAAAATATTTGTTTGAATTACACTTTTTGTGTGTGTCTTGAATCAAACTCATTACTAAATTATAGTTATTTATAACTTGTTGTTTGATAGTTTCAGTATTAGGAAAAAATTGAAAAAAATATTATAAATTTTTTTTGCGTGGTATTTATCATATATACGCACACGAAAAAAAAATTCGAATAAATTATTGAATGGATTAATATAAAATAATTAATATATCAAATTAATGAGATATATTACAATTGACACACAAGTGATATTGATTTAAAATAATTGTTTATCATTTTATTTATTTGTAAGTGATTTAAGAGTAAAATATTTTACATAATATCAATTTCATTCACAGAGCGACTCACGAGCTGTTTTAAATCGAGTAGAGATCTCGATATAAACAATTTTCCCATATTTCAACTTTCATGATCTTTCCGATTTTTCGCTATTTCAAACTTTGATATGATAAACATAATATATTTACAGAATATTTAACATTTTTTCAGCTGTTATCGCCGCAGTTATGGATCAAATCCCGCCGAGCTCCGGAGCCGGAGGGCTTCGTGGAGCATTCGTCCAGGGTGGAGCAGATCGCCGAGAAGCCCTTCTTCGTGCTCTGGCGATACGGCGATGTCGAGGCTATTTACATAGACTCGACCGAGACCTCATCGTCTGCAAATCTGAAACGCGGTCTAGCAAGTATCTTTCAATATCGAACGCTCGACGACGAGATGCGTCAACGTGACGCTTCGGGTATCTGCAATGTAATCTATATGTCCGTCGGAGAGAACATCATCAAGAAACGAAAAACTGCTTGTACGTACGATACATTACCGCCGCCTAGGCGACACCCGAATCCGCTCTTCGCCGTCAAACTCGAAAGTTATCGCAATTCCACGTACGTGCTGACGCAATCGCTGCTGCCGGAGCACGTGGTCGACCATGAGGCGCATAGGATGACATTGGCGTCCAAGCTGGACATCGGCACGAACGTTGTATCGGAAAGAATACTGGAACAGGCGCCGGAAATTCTGAGCGCGAGTGTTATTGAAGCGGATTCCGCAAAACATGCCGTGATGATCCTCGAACCCGGATACAGAGAGATCAGTATCGAGCTACAACCAGAATCCGTCACGTGTCCTGACACCGGATGTCCCACGGTAAAACTTTCATTTCAAACCAAAGTTCATACTCATTGATATCGAGCGATAAGATATAAGAGAGAGGGACAGATTATATATATATTTTAATATTAGTGACATGAGAATGTTTTTTGAAAGTACTTCGAACATCGAGAGCGATAGTAAAAATGAAAAATTGCTATAATTATTTGTTTTGAAGAATTAGTAATGTGAAAATTTAATATTGCAAACGTATACAATTACGCGTTCAAAATTATTATAATATAAAGTAATTGTAAATCATTTCAATATTTATCTAAAATATCAATTTACAATAGACTTTTTATATTTAATTATTAATATAAATCTTTTTATCAATATAAAAAGTAAATAGTTAAACCAAATAATATCGGAGAAAGAGAAAGATAAATGGATAAGTGGAGAAAAGATGAATTATATCTTCAAAATTATAGATTGAGAATTTAAAATTGTAGATAACTTCTGAGAAACAATTGCCAAAAATTGTTAATAAAATAGTAGATGTTAATAAAATCCTAAATAAAATTTTAAATATTTATTTTTGGACATATATTTTATTAAGTTGAACGGAAAGTTCGTTCTGTTTTTTGTTAACAGGTGAAGACCGAAAAACGGCAGATATAAATAGTATTTTTTCTGTTTACTATATTATAAGTATACTATACAAGTTGACACAAGTTTTGAAAATTCTAGTTCTAGTCCATCCTAAGGCCAGTGGTCTATCTATTATGAAATTATCTTTCATACTATAAAATTATATTATATTAGTTTTTAAATAAATATTTCGATATTTTAATGTTTTTTATTTTATCATAGACACTTAAATATATATCTCATTGCAGATCGACCAGACGATCGAGGAATATCGCGAGGCGCTTACTTCTTCCGCGCTGGGTACAGCGAAATCCGCATCGGCCTTCCTCAAGCTTCTTCCTCTAGTCAGAAACGCCTTACCTGAAGAACTGCACAAGATCTTGAAAATGCCGCGCTATCGCCAGATGAAGATGCAACTGTTGGATGTATTCGGTTCCGCGTCTACGTTGCCTGCTCATCAAGCGGCTATGAAGATCCTTCGGCAGGACGAGATCGGTGACGAGACCGAGAGGTATCTATGGGCTCTATCTCTCTCACCGACGCCGAATGCCGATGTCACCAAGGACATTCTTAGACGCTCCGAGGAGACGATGCAGAACGACAAGGTATCCGAGACCTATGCGCTTGCTGCGGGCGCGATGGCGCGGCATTATGGCTCACCTGCGCTGATAGAGAAGGCGAGGATTAGTTTGGAACTGGGTCTGGATACTTGCAGCGGTGAAGAGTGCAAGCTCAAGTTTCTGCGGGCTCTACGAAACCTGAAGAGTCCAGCGGCAATTCCCACGTTATTGTCGCACGCGCTAAGCAACAGTAAAGCCATCAGCGTCGTCGCTTGGCGAGCTCTGGCCNCGCTCTTCCTCGCGAAGCTGTGACCGATGAGTTGAAGGCCGCGGCTTATAAGATTTTCTATCAGACCGGAGGACCGCGAAGGGATAGCAGTGCGCGAACGCTCGCGTTAGATATCATCCTTGAGATCCTTGAGAGCGCAGAAATCCTGCGTGATCTCGTTAAATATTTAAGCAGCAACGATCCGGCCTATGAAGTCCGTAAGTACCTGAGTCAACTGAGTCAACGAATCGCCGAGAAGAACGAACAATTCGCCAGATACCTAAGGAATATATATGCGACCGGTGGTACGACGGTTAACAATTATCACGTACGAGCACAGAGGGGCCTCAGTACCGCCTTTACGAGGAACTTTTTGCGTTCGCCCGAGAGCAACGGCTCCTTGGTGACTATTCAAGAGGTAAATTCCGGTCTGCTGAAGCGCGGCATTGTAGACGTCGTGCTGGAGACTAACAAAGAACGGCAAACGATGTTCTCGCTGGGATTATTCGCGGGTGGTCTCGGCAGCTTCGTCTCGAGCCAGGACGATGGAGCGGAAGCCGACGATGAAGTGGCTACTGCCGGTATGGAAATAGATTTTCTCGGTGTCGGCGTGCGGCCGTTCGTCTTCTTTTCTGGCCAGGGCGAGCTGATGGGCCACGTCTGGTCCGGCACGGCGTCCGAGAGGACCCCTGCTTTCCAGGCTCTTGCTTCCCTTTATAATCACAACCAGTACGTGCCATTGGGATCCGGTTTTGTCGTCGAGATCGACGTTCAGGGCGCCGTGAGCTTTGACCTGGCTGGCCAGATCCAGCTAAGTCTCTGGTCGAGAAATGCACGGTCCTTGGTAGAAATGAATGCTGGTGTGATGATCCACGGTGGCACCAAGGTGCACTCGAGTTTCGTGCAGAGTAAAGCGGAGTTCTCGATGGCGATGGAACCCAAGCTCGAACTGTCCACCGACGTAGACTTTTCTGGGCCGGTGTCATTGTGTATGAGGCTCAGCCAGCCGGTCACCACGGTGAAGCAGCAGGTTTACAAGATCGAGAGAATACCTGGCAGCCGGCACAGATTGAGGAAAACACGCCGGACAAAGATTCATTCGCCCGGCAGGTCTTACAAGCTCAACCAAAAGAACGATGAAATGTGTGCGAAATTCGCGTTCAGTTAACGGCACCTTAAAGATTGCTCAGTAACTTTTTTAGATATTAGGTGCGATATAAAACTTTTTTTACCATTGTGAATCTCTATAGTGTAAGGATAGTGCAAATATTTGAGTACGATAATATGGCAGCGTTTATATATATGAAATCGATGGACAGTTGGATTATGGATCAATAGATAACGTTACACTTGGGCCTCAATATAATACTCTAAGTTAATTGAAGTTACTCGAAAATGCATTCATCGATAGAGGGAAGAAATTAATATTGCCATAATAATTTTAGAACAAGGAATTGGAATCTCTGCAAATTTTTGCAATATTTATTTTCTACTTGATATGATTATCATGAAGAAATAATGATAATTTCATCAAGATCTCGTTCTATGTGTGTGATTACTTTAAAATATAACTTATCTCTTTCATTCATTATCCCTATTACTTCACATTCTCTTATTTTTGTTAACATTACGTACAATGAAGACATAGCGCATTTATTCTCTTCAAGATCTATTATATCGAGGCTCAACTGTATTTATATTTTATATTTTGTACACTCATTTCTACGACGTAAGCGTTTCGCTGTTAATAAAAAAGGAAAAAAATGCGCACTCTTTTCGCACGGCATACAACTCCACCATCCTATTTATTAGCGACAACCACATTCAGAGACGACCATGTCTTCGTAGCCGTATTCGTAGGTTAAAGTGCCGCTGGCGTCCATATAAAGCAGACTAGTAGGTGCCAATCTGGTGGGTACGCAGCAAGCTCTGCCAACGAATTTGTTGCCGCCGAGATCCTCGCTAGCTTGAAGAGCCCCATGTATCAACGTCTGCACTATCGCGTGCTTGGTCGGACTAAGATGATCGCCGAACGGAAAGTAACACTTGCCGGAGCACTGATAAGCCTCGTATCCGGGTGGCGCGACCACCCAGTCATCGTAAGCGATGAGGGCGAAATCCACGTACATCGGACGTCGACGGCAGCCATTCCGACGTCGTCTACGCGGCGTCTCCTCATCCCAATGATCCTGCTCCTCCTGTTGATCCTCCGCGGATCGACGACGGCGCTGGATTCCACCCGTCTTGCTGTAATTCAAAAGGAGAATTGGACTGTCGCCGTAAGGACAATAGGTCAGTCTGCCATGAACGTGGAGACGGACAATGTCATCGCTATTTCTGCCGGCGACGGCGGACGTGACGTCAAAGGCGCGCCAGGTGTCGTCCTTTCTCGATCTTAAGATCTCCTCGCTTCCATTCCTCGCCGGCAGATCATTCAATGATCGCACCCGAATTATCGCACCGGCTATTCCAAGCAACTCCGCGGCCTCCAGCGTCTCGTCGATGTCGACCGATGGAATCGCGAACTCCAGGATCCTGCCGCCGTCGCGGAGCGGCCCGGAAGTATGCACCGGCTGAATTGCACGGACTATATCGGCATCCGGACGCCGATGATACAGCTGTAGCATGTATCTAGAAAGAGTGCCCCGATGTTTCCGACGAGCGGACAGTCTTGCGTCGATTCTATCGAAGGGGGGACGACGCGGAGTGGTCCATGACGACGACGACGAAGATGATGATGACGGGATCGATAGGTCGAAGTGGATCAAAGCTTTTGCGCGCATACTCCAACGACTGATCGATCCGGTCTTCCATAAGCAGCAGACGAAGAACGTACCCGCGACTAGTAGCAACCAATAGTGTCCGGGGGTAAATCGCATGGTCCCCGATGTATCTCGGACGGAGGAAGAATGGCGGATAGATCTTACAGGGGAAACTCCGATGAGATACAATGAGATGTATCCAATATTGCACCTTCACCGTAAATGTACTTGAAATGGTTCTAATATATATATATATATTTTTTTTATTAAACTCGGGTAAAATTTGTAGAAATCGCAACAGTCGTAAAGATGTGAGAATGTAATTATTCCCACTTCACGAGACTTCCGTTCTTGTTTTTTTTTTTTTTTTTTTCAATAAAATAGAAGTA